GCGAGTCTTAGAGCCCAGGTCAACTGGCTTGGACTCACAGGGCTAACGCTGCGGGGCTAAAAAAGAGAGCAGTGTAGAGGTTGGGCTTGGGTTGCAGCCCGGTCTCTGAACCCGTGGAGGGGGAAAGGTCTCAGAACCCAGGCTCTTGCCTGAACCCAGCCTCCACACTGCTATTTTTAGCTCTGCAGCACGAGCCCCGTGACCCCGAGTTAGTTTACCTGTGCTCTGAGACTCACTGCCATGGGTTGTTTTTTGTTTTGTTGTCTTGATGTACCCTCAGTGTGGGGTGACGTTGGGTCCATTGTGACATCCCCTAGGATACAATCTGGACTGTGGAACTGCTGTGTCCCCTTAACTGTCCAGCCTGGGGTGCCTTTTACACTGCTTTGCTGTCAGAACAGCCACTCCTGACCTGCTCACGCTGCCTTCAGCATGCAAAGTCACTCCCAGCTGAATACATCAATGCTCTCCCAGCCACTCATGAACTATGTATAGGGTGACACCTGCAAATCTTCTGGTCCCAGTCTTCCACCCCAGGAATGTGCGTCTTGAACTGCTCAGGACCCCTCCGAACAGTGTAAGCTCATTAAAAGTCCATCATTCCATCAAAGGAAATGATTATGCACTAGCCTTTGTTAACCTGAGCAGAGCTTTCCCAAACACTTCAAACAAAACACATTGGTTTAGATAAAAGAATAAAACAAGTTTATTAACTAGAGAAAGATAGATTTTACGTGATTATAAGTGATTAAGGCATAAAAGTGAGACTTGGTTACAAAAGAAATAAAAGATAAAACTACAATCTAATTCCTAAACTTTACCCAGCTAAATAAGATTAGAAAGCAAGAAGATTTCTCTCACCCCAAAATTTTCAGCAGTCCATGCTAACTGGAAAGCCTTCCAGTTAGAATCACTTCCCCCAGTTCAGTGTACGTTCTTTCAAATGATCTTGCTGCTGTGAGTAGAGATGGGGAGAGAAGAGAGGTCTAGAGGCATTTTTGTCACCCTTTTAATACCCTAACTCTTGTGCTGTAAAAACCTTTGCTGGGTCATGGGGTCAGGCAGTTCCATAGCATATGTGAGCTTGCAAACGTCTTTCAGGTGAATTGTAAATTTCCTGTTTACAACTCCCCTGATAGTGAATCTCTGATTAAGCAGTTAACAATTTCTTAATACCTGTGCTCAGTTCTTTGGTATGTTTCTGAGGAATTAGTCTGTGGGCATTCTCCAGAACTATAGCACATTACACAGTAAAATCTCATAGTTTCACATGTAGTATTGTTACACACGTCATAACTGTACAATGATGTTCAGCAGATTATGCGTTTTCAAGTAATATCTCACAAGGCATACTTTATACAAAATATAGTGAAGATGGGGGTACAGGGTATCAAAAGCAGGCAAGGAAGAAGGGTCTTGGAGCCCAGGCTGCAGTCTGACCTCTGCCTTTACACTGCTATTTTTAGCTTTGCAGTATGAACACCATGACCTGAAGTTAGTTTACCTGTTCTCTGAGACTCATTGCTATGGCTTGTTTTTTCTTTTGTGTTTTGCTGTCTTGACGTACCCTCAGTGTGGGGTGACATTGGGTCCATATACTTGCTCTGAGTGGAACTGGTTGAGAAATGAGGAGTGTGTGTGGAGATTGTTGTTGATAAAATTTTCCATCCAGCTCCAGTTTTGAAGAGAATTCTCTTCCGTGTTTAGCTGTTTTTAATTTCCTTTTAATCTATAAAATTCAGGTTGTCCCTTCTTGTTTTAGGAAACTGATTTCCCTTTAAAGGATCTCTTTGGTGATCTTCCCAAGCAATTTATTTGTATCTCCCTCCTCATTGCTCTGCCATGCACATAGTTATCTGTACTGGGAAGCAGCGTAGTCTGGTGATTAGATCAAGGAACTGGGAATCTGGAAATCTTCTGTACTTTCTCTAATCTATCACTCGCTGTGTGGTCATGAACAAATCTCTAATCTACAGTTGTGTCTATTCCCTCTCCCACACTCCACCTGAAAAATGGGGATAACAACACATACAGTGGTCACCATATATCCAATGGTACCATCACATGTTATCTGAGATATCACAATATTTCCTTATATTTAGAATTGGCAATAACTACAGTATCCTAGCTACCACTTATTGGTATCGTTCAGCAAACAATGATTTTCTTGCCAACCGGTGTAAAGTACTTTGAGATTTTTGGACGAACACTGACATGTACATTGAAAGTACTTACTATTACCTGATAAAATAAGCAATTAACATTTCAGTTTTTGGTCACACTAGCCCAGGATTCATACAGAAGAGCTAGGGCACTTATACAAACCCATTGTAAATGTCACTCTCATCATTTCATGGGTGGAATCACCTAACTATGATTTTTATAAAATTCTTTCATCAATACCCTGTTAAAATTAATATATGGGACATAATTTAATGAATGTTCTTTCTCCCACCTGTGAAGATTGAAAGGCACACTGTGCTTTTCTTCCATCCATGCAAATAACTCAACTTCAGGAAATTTCATAGCTGAACTGTCTCTTGCATATTAGCACTTACATCTCAGATTTATGGATTTCCTTAAAATTCCAGACATTCTAAAGTCCCTAATCTCTGAGTCATGAGGAACTATTACTGTTATTCATTAACAACTTCAATCCTTGGTTAGTTGCATTGTCTCAGTAGGACAAGCCTTTGGTCCCAGTTAGGCACATAAATTCCTTAGTCAATGGAGGGGGTTAATAGAAAAGAAATTTTTTTAAAAAAAGAGGAAAATGTAGGACCCAATTACGCAGTCCCCTTGTGCATTGTTGCTATTGGAGGCATAGTGATATCTGTTGTGATTCACTGATTACTTCTGTAAAACCTTACAAAATACCATTTCAGCAGGGACTGTAGAGGGGTCTACAGAATTGAAACTAAACAGCCATTAAATACATTCATCAACGTGCTTGCAGTTCTCCTTTCAGGGCAGGTTAAGCAATAATAAATACTGAGCCAAGAGAATTAGTCTGTACCCCAGAGTATCTAAACAAATAAAAAGCACATAACAATTGGCACTGTTCTTCTATAGGCTCTCCTCACCAACTCTTCTTGGTAATGAAAGGTCTTAGGGATCAGCACTGGAATCCTTCCTTTCTGGCATTTGTAAGAATTAAGATGTGGGTGAGTGGGAGATTGCTAGAAGGAAATGTGTTTTTTCATTACTGCAGAAAGAATGTGAGAGATTCTCTTCCTTCCTTACTGGTCTCAGTTACCTTCCTCCCACATACCCATTCTTCTTTTCTCAACCCCCGCCACCGAGCAGAACATCCTACTTTTTTCTTAGGCTCATAATCATTAGTGCTGGATATGGTGTTAATGCCACGGCTCTGGTCTGTGTTGGCCAGTAGGCCCTGTGCAGAGCTTGAACGCTGCAGAACTCTTCCTTCCATGCCTGAGATTGCTAAACTTCTCTAGCCTGCCTCAGTGGGCCAGGGGAATATGAACCATGAAGACTCTCCTCATTATCTCTTGTCATTGTCTGTTTCCTTCACTTATCAGAACGAAGAGCTCCTCAGGAGGCAAACATCCCAAGGTCCCTCTTAATCAAATCCTTTTGAATTACAAGAGCATCTGCTGTTGCAGCACAGTTAGTTTTTCAATTTACCCTACTGTTGTCAGTAACTTTACATGACTCCTTGTTATCCAAGCAACTAAATTGTTTATGACGATAAGGATCTCATCCTCTCCTGGAATATTTCCTATGAATATTCTGATCTCTTCCTGCTATTTCTTTGCTGCTTCCCCAGTTGCTGCTGCTCTGTTTGGTTAAAGCCTGTCTAGGGAGAGGGAAGACATTATTAAATGAGTCCATTTTAGAAATACGAGTACTTCCAAGTCTCCCTTCTCCTACTTGTTTGGTGAGATGCTACTAAAGCAAGTTAGCACCCTCATTTGCAGGCTCATTGAAGGGTCCAAGAACAGAGTAGCTACAGGGACTGAACTTCCCTGCTGCCATTAAAAGTGATGCCTCCAGGACCAGGGACAACATTTTGTGTTTTCGGGTTTTTAACAAAAATGTGAATATTTTTTCTGCAAAAGTGGATTTTTGGGGGGCAAGGGAAGGTGTGAACACATTTCTTTTTTGTCAAAAAGCCATTTTTCATTGAAAAATGTCTTGACAGAACATTTTCTACCCTCTCTAGTTATAATCTGGTGGGCCATAACTTCTGAATGCTTAATGTCTATTTTAGAGTATCAGCGGTCAAGACTGGCCATCTCAAAATTTGAACTCATTTTTCCCCCTTGTATCTCATCACAAAATCCATGCAACTGTTGCCAGATTTTCTTTCTGATACAAATGCTTCAGTTGTTTTTCTGCTAAAATAAATAAAATGCAGAAATATAAAATCAACATCAGTCATAGACCTAAATTAATAAATCAGCATGCCCAGGCTGGAGATCATAAACAGCCCTAAAATTTCATATCAATGTGCACAGCTCCAAAACAGATTTTTTTTTTTTTTTTTTTTTTAAAGAGAGTGTCAGAGGTAAGTGGAAGAAAAATGGTTAGAAAATAGATGAAACTTTTAGGCTTCCAAGGTTATTTGTTTTTCATTGACTTTAAATTGTTTTAAAAGTGCTCCAGAGTCTCATTTCAAAAAATAATCATGGCTTTTTGCAATGCATAACAAAACACTCAACACCAATAACTCCTTTGCTGGGATTCTATTCCTTTTGCTGTGTCAACATAATTGATAATGTTGGCAGACAAAGAAGGATGTAAACACAATGTAGCCATATTAGCACCTGCAGTATTAGCAACACAGAAAAACAGATGATTTGATAAATACAAAATGGTAAAATGGATAAGGGAAAATAGGGTCAGGTTTCTAGGTGGGTGTTAAAAATTAGATAGTAAAATCTTATTGGGGAATAAAAGGAAAATGCACGGAGAATGTTTGTTTAACATTTGAAAAAGAGAGATTTTAATTAAAGGGTTCTTTTTGCTGCCCCCAGCCATACCTCTGGGAATTATAGTTATACGAGGAGATTGTGACTTGGAGGCCTGTCGTATGTACATTGACCGGCTACAAGAGGTGAGTCAGTGAGAATTTCAGTTATTACTTATTGATTTATGACATACTTTTCTCAAGTGTGAGTGTGTTACAGAACGCTAGCTATAGACACAATGTATAAGAAATGCTTCACTTTGCTCGCCCCTGAAACTGAAACTTCTCGAGGGTGGGACATGGGAGCTATTATATATTCATGAACAGTACTGCACAATATTTGGAGGACAGGAAGCAAGAGAAAGAATACTCTATCAATTTAAAGCAAAGAAAGGAATGAAAGGTAGTAGGTGGACTGTATTTACTGATGCTGGAATTTGATCAGAACAGTCACCCCATGAATCTTGCAAAAATAATGTGGGTCCTTCAATGAAAAGTAGGATTAGGAAGATCCTGATTATTCATGTAAGGATAGATATCATGTAAGGATAGATAAATGGAGCTGACTATGCAAATGGTGTAATATCTGTATGGAAGTGACTCTGCTCATATCTGTGGTAAAGCTATGAGCATGCCAAGTATGAACTAGGTATTTCCAGAAGCCTGTGTTGACTCTGAGGGGCCATGTAGTTAATAAAAGTGCTGCACTTTCTCTATTGACAAATTGTCTCCTAAGAGCTGATTAAACATTACATTCTGTCTCGAAGACAGAACCTCCAAATGCTCCAGTAAGCAACACTCAAAATAATTTAAAATATACATGTATTTAGGAACCAAGGTAATGGACTCTCATTAATGAGATGTAACAGCTGTTACTTTATTTTTACTTTCTGGTAGGTGTTTTTTATCAGTCTCTATTATTTTTGTCCAAGATCTTCAAAAACAAAGGTCAGTTTTAGGCTCCCAGGTCCATACTGAGGGCACCAGAGGTGGTGGCCCAAAGTGCTAAGCATCCCACCACTCCCCTTGAAGCCAGTTGGAGCTGCTATAGTGCTCAGCCCTTTTGAAAATGAAGCTACTTATTTAGATAGTTAAATGCAGATTTAGGAGCCTAAGATTAGGATTTATTTTTAAAATTTTGGCTAGGATGTACATCAGCAAATGGAGTTCTTAAAATGCAAACAACATGTCAGGACTACAAAACAGAAGTGTGCTGTATCTTAATATGGAGACAGGTTTGGGAGTGATGATGCAGTGAGAGGATTTGGAGGACATTTCCCATCAGATTATAAATTATTGCCTACATTAATCATGTGCTCAAAGCCCTGGGTAAAGGATGGAAAGTAGCTTCACTCAGCATGGAAGAGACCTGGAAAGGAATTCTGACTCTGAGTTATCTCTGGCTCCAGTTTGTGCGGGAACTATGTTACTGCAGCCCTTTACTGGGTTTAACTTCCCTTGCTTATGCTGGCTGAGTTCCACTGGTTAGCACATTGTGGGAGGAGATGGACTGGGGCCAAGGCTCACCCACTCCCCACCTACTTACTCACAGGCTGGGAAGTGGAAGCCCCACTAAGTGTACAATGACTCCCCCTCATACCCACACTTGCTATCTTGGCAGGGCTCACAGTTTGTTGTGAATATTCTACATTTGAGCTGTTGTAATAGGGGGATACAGGTCACTTGGTATGTCATTGTTCCCTCTTAGGATGAACATATGGTAGTTCTTAGAAGTTCTTATATCCACGGATGCAAATATCTATGTTTGCGGATCGCAGATCAGATGCAGATACAAATTTTGTATCCTCACATGGCTCTAAGAATTGGGTTTCTGGGCCAAACAGTTCAAAATGCAAAATTTGCTTTCCAGAAATATCCTCAGTATTAACTTCAGATCCTCTGAGTGAGCGAGCGCTGCAGCCAGTAGAGTTATTTGCTAGAATGCTTATTGGAAGTGAGCACAAAAGAGTTGCAAACATGATGAAAGCTAATAGTCTAAAAAATGTGAATAAATAGTTGCAAAATTCTTTTGTGTTTTTTACCCTGTTCTTGGGTGGAGTTGCACATGCTAAATAAATAAATTGGATGGAGTTAGTGTGGGCATCTCTTGTGTGGAGTTTGTAAATTGGTTTTGGATTCATTGTCATTGTCATTTCTTTTATTCTCACATTAGGACCTGCAGTCGGTAACTTCTACTACGCAGAGAGTTCACTACCAGGTAAAATATGAAGAGCACTTCTTGTTTTTATTCTTTAAGATATAGAGAAAGGTTCGTCTCAGCAAGGAATTGATTGATGTTTGAATTCAGATTACATTCCCTGTATATGAAGCCAGACTTTGAATAGAGTGTGTTATCTTAGATTACCCTTAAATTGCCAGGTATCCCAAAGTTTGAGATGAGTTTCTGTATCCTCACAACACAGCCCCTTATGTAGCAAACCCTGGATTCTAGAACTGTTCTCAAAATTATTTTGGGTTGGCACAACATCATAATGTAGGTTGTACTGCAACACCATTGCATTTTTTCTCAAATTAGTGTTTTGAAGAGTTTGTCCTGTAGGACAAATGGCTAAACCTGAATAGATACTCTCACTTTTTCTGATAAATGGAACAATAATATAATATCTCACACAGCCAGTAGCCTGAAATAACACAGTATGTCAGTGAGATTAAAAACAGCAACCCTGGAACATTTATAACCACTGTGCACCACACAGATCAGAATGTGCATCTATCCCAGCTTTAAATTAATTCACACAGATACATTTTAGAAGCTGGTTGTCTAAATTGTGCATGCAAATCTTTCTTTTGCACATAAAACAGAATGCTGTGCAGCATGGTTTCCATTTGTATTTGCAACTTAGAAGGCCAGTTATGTATTTCTTAACTACGTTGTCATATGCGATAACTGGGATACTGTGCCCGGGGTATTTTATCTGGTTCTATATTAGGAAATGCTCTTTTAAAATTAATCATTCTGTCCTCTGTACCACCTTAAAATTGAAAACAGGGATTTGAATAGAATATATCAGTGGGACTGCCCACCTGAGATTGACTTTATTGTCTCCTGCACTAATTTGTCATTGGCAATGGATTACTAATGGTATAGTAAAGATTTACTGTGATAGAATCCAAACCATACGGCTCAAACCTGCAAGATGCTGAGCATCCTTTTAAGGGTTTAATGTCTCCAACTCCCATTGAAATCAGTAGGAACTGAGGGTAGTAAGTACGTCACAGAAAGCACTCAAGTACATTGTAGTTACGAGAGCATTATGGTTTAGGAACAGATTATTTTTTGAGGATCAGTGATTAGTTGGGTGACATAGACTCCAGTTAGACATAATCCCCAACATATGCCCTGAGCCCTGGGAGATACTAATAGAAAATGTACATTTGGAAAAAAATGATTTTGAAATTTCTTTTTTGAATGGGTGTTTGTTGGTTCCGTTGTTCCCCTTCCAATTTCAACATCATACTGTTGATATTTGTGTCAGCCACTTCCAACTATTGAGCATAAGAGCATTATACATTAGACAATAAAATGGTGAGAATTATTCCACTCAGCTCATTATAGAAGAATCCATATCCAGAATTACCCTAACTGGCTGCTGGCTGCTTCACACAAAGGAACAGCTGGACGTAAAATGCTGGACTACGTGTGTATGTATATGCAGGCACAAACTAGAGTAGCCAAAGTGCGAAATGTCAGAGATCATCCTCCCTACAGCACTGAGATAGCTCTAACCCCTGTAGTTATCTGCTCTGTATAAATGAATCACCCAGCTGGCTCTGGAAGTGCAAGTCAGCTTGAAACCTCAATCAATACTTTATGATGTTTCATTTTGAATGGCACTGCCTTTATGTTTTGTCTTCTGTGCTTGTTTATCCTTGATTGTTCAGGCATCTGTGTATTCTCAGTGGGTTCTTGCTACAAACTGTCTTGTTAGGTTAAATTGGGGGCTGTTCCACATTTTGTTGGCAACCAACTATAAATTATGGAAAGGAAGAGAAATCAGGGCAAGAGCAGGAGTAAAGTGCTTCAGCTGATAGCATTGTCTTCATATCTCACTAATAAGGTTTCACAGGCACTTTTAAATCTTATATACATTTACATTTCTCTCTTGGGCCTCCTCTGCAGTTGGAAATGAGGAGAGTCAGCATAAACTCTATCAGTGAGCTCGCTGCAAATTCAAAAATTGCTGCTAGATTTTTTTTTTCATTCTGTTTGTTCCTCGGATATGTTTAATGCATATTCATATGAGTGATACCCGCCCATCCGGGTTTAGCTACTGAGGCAGGCCTGCCCTCAGTGAAGTAATGGAGGAAGCACATTCAGATTTCTGATTTGAGTTTCCACCTGGCAATGTTATCCTTTCCACTGCATCTTCTGATAGGTTCCAGGGATTTGTCCCCATGTCTGCTTCAGTTCCTCCTCATACCATCTACCTCTCTGATATACATCAATAACCTCAGATTCTTCCTCATTTTCATCCCCTGCTTCTTTTACTCTAGTCCTCACCCTATTGTCAAATAGAAGGGTAAGTAGTAGTATACACACACACACACACACACTAGTAAATCCAAAAAAATCCTCTAGGCCATAGTTTCCCTCAATAAGTTCTAGACACACAGCACATCCACTCACTCACACAAACAAACTCTATAAACTAAGCATACTATTTCTCCTACAAGCTGAGATGGAAGAAAGATGGTTACTGTTATCCCTATTTCCAATTACTTGCGAGGCACTCAGGATAAGAGCTGAGTCAGTCCTGCTAGCCACAGATGTCAGGTTCCAGGGAGCTTTACATGTTTCCACGTGTTTCAGACCTAATGTGTAGACCACTAAGCCAAGTCATCGCATAAGTATGCGCATAAGCAGAGTGGGGATTTTCTCCTTTCCTTCTCCTCATGTCTCTTTAAGGACTTAAGTGTACAGTTGTATTCAAACATAGGGCAGTGGATGCAAGAAAGGAAATATATGGTGACCAAAGACAAAAGGAGGGAAGGACAGATAAGCACTGGCAATAAAGGAATGCAGGACTTAGAGACTCCAGTAAAATGCAAGTTTGGGAGTGAATTGAGACAACTTCACATTTTGTGGAGTAGAGGTGAGTATGGGTAATATTTGTAAGAAGTTTTTCATCAAGTGAAAACTGTAAACCTGTAGCAACTCAGGCAAAAGTTTGCTGCTGGGACGCTAGCAAAGTGCCAAATCTTTGAGTGCACTGAAACATTGTATAAGTTGTCTGGAGCAGCCTTTGCTTTTTCCTCATGGATAGTCAGGAAAGGAAGCCAATAATAGATGGAACAAATCAAGCCCAGAGGCAGAAGCTAATAAGATGAATCTTACAAAAGCTGGTAGGCTGCCAAGGAAAGTTGTTAACAACTTGCAGTTGCCTCGTGCCAAACTAATATGCATCCACCTGGCTGAGAAACAAAAGACACAGTCCATCAAAACATTAAACACTAATCATGGGAACAGCTTATTGTAAACAATGCCTAGAGAGTGCAAGCACTCTGCTGACCAAGAATAATGGGGAAGCCAAGAATGTGTGTATGCGTACAGTACTGGAATAACCCTACTACATCTCCAAGTGTTGAGGAAGCATCTAATACCTTTAGATAAATGAAGAAGCAGTGCATGATACACACTAACATATGGAGATGTGACTTGTGATTTGATCAACCAGAAGTTTCATTTATCTAGAGTTTAGCTGAAAGTACAACCTCACTCAGAGATTTTCCCTAGGAATTTACAAACAAACCAACAAATTCTTGAGCATCCTGATTTGCACATCTCTGCAACCTAGGGGAATGGAGAGATGAAACACCATTTCCCTTCCCCCTAGATTCTTTGGTTTCTTCAGACACCTTAGAAATATCTCAGATAGTTGGAAAACAAATAATCATTTGCAAAGCAGAAAAACAAAACTATCCACAGGGGAATAAATGTTATTTCCACGTTTCTAAATGATACAAATATTGATGAGTAAATCCACAAAAATTAAGAGCTATTAAATAAACAAAGTACTTGACAGTATCTGTATTGAAGCTCCAAATGTGTTATTTGTGCACAATAAAGGGAAACCGTCCATTATGTTACCTTCTTTACCTAATACAGTTTCCCTCTTGTGTATTAAGCAGCCTCCTTCTCCTCCTCCATATAAGCTGCACATTTTCAACAGTGAAGGTAATTAATCACTGGTAATTACCTTTACCTAGAGATATGATATATTCTCCATCATCTGAAGTCTTCAAATCAAGGTTGTCTTTCTAAAAAAATATATTCTAGTTCAGTGTTTCTCAAATGGTGGGTCGTGGGAAGGTTGGAGATGGGTTGGGCCCAATGTGGAGATGAGGTCTTGGGTGGGGGTGGAGAGTGAGCCTGCCCCACGCTCACCCTGCAGCAGCAGCTCCTGTCCCGTGGGGCTGGGCCTAGCTCCCTCCTCTGGACATTGCAACCTGGCATGCAGGGTTACAGTGCCACTCACTCAAATTTGGCCCAGCTGCCTCTCCATCATGACAGAGTGGTGGCTGGGCCACACCTGAGTGGCGCTATGATCTCATGCACCAGGTGGCAATGCCCGGAGCCAGAAGCTGGGCCCAGCCACGTGGGACAGGAGCTGCCACTATGGGGTGAGTGTGGGGTGTGCTCACTCTCCTATCCCCACTCCAGCGCCTTTCCTCTGCACTGGGCCCGGAGTAGGGTGGAAGGTGCTTCTGTGAGAGGTCAGTACCCCTTTGGCAGGGCAAGGAGAAGGAGGTAGCAGTGGCAGAGGAGGAGAAGGATGCTGGCCTGATTTTGGGCCCACAAATTTGGACCCTGAGTGGGTCATAAAAAAAGACAAGATGCAGCTGGTGGGTGGTCTTCCTGAAAAGTTTGGAAACCGCTGCTCTAGCTTCAATAGAAGTTAGATGTTTGATGCAAGAATTGCTAGGTGGAATTCCATGGGCTGTTTTGCAGGTCAGACTAGAACATCATAATGGTCCCTCCAGGCTTTATAGTCTGCGACTCTCTAACTCGCTTTGTGGTGCTAGATCTTTAAACAAAAAATAATTGAAACGAAATAAAATGATTATCATGCTGTGGTGTCCATGTAAAACAATGTTTTCTCAAATGGAGCCTTTCCTCCCCTTTGTGCTGTTATCGATCCCCATTCCCTGCACCCTGGTGCATACCCACCATAGTCTGTTGTCCTTATTCGTTGTGCATTCTAATTCAGGGCCAGATTCGGCTCTGATTTACACTCCATGCAACCCTACTGGACATCTCTGCTGTAGATGTAAATCAGAGCAGAATTTGGCCCTAAATGTACAGAAGTTTTGGGTGTTCACTTATGACCAATTGGACCGAGTCATCTCCTACGCTGGTAAATCATTCAGCACAGTGTTGCAATCAGCTGGCCTGTTGGTCTAGTGGCAGCACAAGACAGCACCATATAGTGGATCAGAGTCTGGGTTCTTTGCTCCCCAGTTCAGATGAAACTGAGAGTGCTGCAGGGCCAGTATGTTCAGCTCTTTGGTGCTGTTGTGTGCAGGGGAAGCCTCATATTTCTCCTTAGTAATTCTCCTCTGGGCAGTTCTAGTAGTGGTGTTGCCAGGCTTCGAGAGGCATCTCTCTTCAGCCAGAAGGATGGTTGTGTTAGTGGATTATTGTTATTTGTTCAAATGACAGTGGCACCCAAAAGTGCTAATGTTTCCAAACACAGAGGAAGACAGTCCCTAACCTAACGAGCAGACAGACTAGAAATATGAAGATAGATGGAGGGAACGGGACAAGGACACAACGTACAAGCATTGTGATCAGGGTGAAGACAGGCGTATAATGGCATGTCTACACTGCAAAAAATAAAGTATGGTATTAACCTGCATTATCTAACTGGGGTTAAAATACCAGTGAAAACAAGATAATTTGGGTTTTAATTCAGATTAGCACTTGAGTTCAACCCCAGGCTGCGCTGCAAGATTTCACTCAAACTCCGAACCTGAGTTAAAAGCTGAGTTGCTGTGTCTTCACTGCTATTTTAACTCATGTTAGCTAACCTGATTAAGAACACACCTATTTTTCCAGTGTAGACATAGCCTTACTGACATGTTTGTTTGTCTCCAGTGTCTGTTTTTAGACCCCTCCCATCTCAATATTCATCATCGTCTCCACCACCGTAAATGAGTAATTCCCATGTGACATAGTAGGTGACTTAGTTAGCTTTGATACTGGGCTTTTGAGACTTCTGAGGTGAAGGGAATGGGTACCAAAGGATATGACAGGTGTTGGCAAAGAAGATGGGTTTGCACATAAGAACTGACAGCTAGATAGTGGGACTAGGCTAATTAGCTTTTATCTTTAGGGTAAAGTCAGCAAAGAAAAATAAATGGGTAAATAATACAGTTTTAGACAAAAGAGGTTTTTTTTAAATGTTCTTTCCCTCCCCCGCACCCAGGATCAGGAAGGTTCCTTCCCACGAGTACTTTCTGTTCAGAGGCTCTCTCCTAGATGGTGCTTCCTAGATGGTAAGTGTATCTTCCTCTGGCGCTATGATCAGGTCTTGTCATTGATACGCACTGAGAGACTAGTATTTCCAAAACTCTGAGTGTAAAGGCCAGGTGCTGCCCTTTGCTGTGCTAGGCAGGTAAGAAGGAGAAGGGTGCCTCTTCTTTCCTTCTCAGAAGCAGAGCAAGACCTTTCTCTTGTGTGTGGCTAGAGGCCTGGCTGACCAGTGTGCCTGCTGTGGCCAGCAGCACTTAGATCAACATAGCCTGTGGCAACCCACTGCAGCGAGTTTCCCAGCCCGGGTCCACAGACTACAGTGCTAAAAATATCTGTGTAGACAGTGCTTTTAAGTTGCAGATCAGGCTCCAAAGCCCACTGCCATCCCTAGGCTTCAGAGCCGAACTCCAGCCCAAGCTGCAACACCTACGCAGCTGTTTTTAGTATGGTAGAGCAAGCCCAAGTCTGTTGAGCTGGGCTAGGAGGCTCGCTGCCATGGGCTGTGTAGATGCACCCCCCTCACCGGCTGTTCTTTTTGAAAGATAACAGTATGTTGTTCCTGGCCGTACTTTGCCCCCAGTATGGCTGCATCTGTTTATAGCAGGCCTTTGAAATTGCCTTTGAAGACAAGTGTTGTTGTTGTTGTTGTTGGTTTTGGTTCATTTTTGGTCTTTTTGGATTTCAACTTTCCTCTGCAATGTTGAAAATTAAAACACAGCAGCAAAATGCTACTGCATAAAAACCCCAAAGTGAAACTGTCAAGTCTGTAGTTTCGTTGCCCAAAGTAAGTGCCATGCATAAGGTAAACAGATAGCACAGATGGTGAAAAACAATGTAGACAGTTCAAATGCTTTCAGTTTTAATAATCTAAGCTGCTTTCATAAATAGAACTTTTTTTCTTTTCACCTTTGCCATGAACAGACTGCAATTTTCTTGAATTTATTTTCAATTCAAAATTATTAGCCAATTATTTGATCTGCAGCTTGTTCACAAGCATTTGATTTATTTGATATAAAAAATTGAGCTGATATGGTTGGAAACACAAATCATGTTTTTTTTTTTGGTCCCTGAATGAAAGGCAACTCGTTGTATTAGGTTTCTGGTATGATTGTCTCTTATTACAAATCTGAAATTCACTTTCCATACTTTTGCATTATTTTGCTAAAATTTGCTGTTTTAAAGAATATTCCTGCCAATAAAATCATTTGCTGGAAATGTTAGCAGAAAGTGGGGGGAAACAAGAGCAGATTTGAATGTGGTCAGAACAAATAAATTGTTTAGCAGTATCTGCTGAGCACTATTAACAACGCAGGGATAGACTTTTACTTGCCTCCTTTGTAGAGTGTTTTGAGATCTACTGATGAAAAACACTATATAAAAGCTGTGATATTATTATTATAAAATATATTAAACTTCACAGTGAGCCTTAAAGTTCACTTCATGTGTGTGATATTTTTTGTGATTGGATTTTTTAATAAAGTACCGTGACCTTTGTTTTGTTAAACTCTGCCTTTAAAATCTCCACATTAGTCCTCATGAAAAGCTGGCATGACTCCTCTAGTTGTCTTTACTCAAGGGCTGAATTTACTCCAATCTACACTGTAGATTCAGTTTTGCTCAGAGCTCTTTCTTTAACACAGCTCTGCTGTTTCCCTTTCTTGCAGCAACTTCTGCTGATCGTTTTTACCGCATTGACAGATCTCAGGTAAATTTCCATCCATTTACTGTTTCTATAGATCTTTTTAAAGCATTGTCAGATACAGCTTAAAATGAATTATCTGTATTTGTTCCTGTGTGTCTTAAAGTTCTGCTGATGCCTCATGAAAAACTGAAATATATTTTGGGCCAGATCCTCAGCTGGTGTAAATTGACATAGCTCTACTGAAGTTAGTGACAATTTATACCCACTGAAGATCTGCCCTTCTATCTACAAGCAATTTGATGTTAAAATAGTTTTCTCCATTCTTCTTCTTCTTTATCCTCTATTTCTAAGGACATATGTGTGCAAACAGAATATTTATCAGTTTATCTTCTGCGGTTTATAACAAACCTGAAAACCTAATCTTCTGTGTATGACATTGGATAGCTGTGGAACTTACGATGTTATAAATTGCGAATTATGATTAGAGCTGTATAAAATGCGCATAAAGAAACAGAAAACAATTATCAAACTCCACTGGTTTCAGGTTTTATTTCCAAATTGAGTGTGAGAATAATTTATGACCCTGGACTTAGTTTTTAATCAGGTTGGGCCAGTTAATGGTTTTGCATCACAATCATGCAACTGTAACACACTGGGCAGGTGTGTCTTTGTGCTTCTTCTGGACCATGTGAAAAAGTCTCCTAAGTCTGCTACTGTCTCCAAGTTGATGGAGATGGTCCTGTAGCTTGTGCAGTAGAGGATTATGCTTGTAGACCAGAGGTCCCAGCTTCAATTGCTGTGAATCATCTGAGAAGAGATGTCTTTACACAAGTTGCTAATTTGACAAATAGCCAGGTGTCTGCTTGGATGAGGTTTTACTTTAAAGTTTGGAGAACCTGAAACTTACAAGCAGAGTGAAGTAAAATGTTGGCTTGAACCTCTAGGGATGTGATCCTACTGACTTTTGCACAGCTTTCGTTATGAAGCTATAAATGCTCTTTGGTTTGCTCTCTCCCTCCTCCCCCCGTCTCTTTGGGGTTGAAAGTGAGGATCCATGATCTTTCCACTGAGCACAGGATTGCAGATTTACTCTCCCTCACACTCACATTGAACTTCCCAGAATGGTAAAGGGGTGGGGATTTCTGAACCGTCTTCTATGTCTCCAAGGAATTGGAAGGAGAGGGACAGTGATAATGGAGATGCAACCCCCCACTAACTAACTAACTAACTAGGCACAAAAGAAATAAAATGGCTTGGTAGAGTCCCACCAAGCTCTGAAATGTTCTTCTGTGCCAAGGAAGGTCAGTTCTGGCTTTCCGGGCAGCCCTCAATCCTGAACACTGGCAGGAGTGTCTAGCCACAAATGTCAGTGTCAGTAGTCTCTGTGGATCTTTCAGTTGTCTATTGGGAGGTGTTGCTCAGTTGTTGGTGGAACGTAGAATAGAGACCAATGGAGACAAGGTGGAACCAGCCTTGTAAACATTGTTACGGAATTGATACTTGCTGCAGATGGAGGGGGAAATCCTTCAGGATGGGCCAATTTTCACCTAGCTTTCTAATAGCCAGTTTGGCCTCCTGACAGATTGCTGGTGACTCATTATTGACTCTCTGTCTCATTCTAAAAGGAACATTTGCACTTTGTGACGGAAATTTCTCAGGACGAGATTTTTATCCTGGACCCAGAGCTGGTGATATCACAGCAGGTGGGGACGCCGCCGGGAATGCCTGATCTGGTAGTGGAGCAGGCCTCTGGGTAAGTACTTCCTTTCCCAGGCTGGGCTCTGGCCTTTGCAGCTTTTCCAGGAGTGGGCTCTTCCCTTCCTGCACTCCGACAGTAGGAAGAGGAAAAGGCAGATATTAAAGTAAGGAGTTGGGTAAACAGATCCATTGATCAAATTACAAACTCTTTCTCTATGGGGCTTAGGTTCAGATACTGGTACATGGAGTCTTAAATTGACCTGTGAACCTAGGAGTTACAATGAAGTGTCTCCATTTCCCCTTGTCGTGTTGATGGCTCAATATATGCTCACACTGAAGTAAACCCCACACTCACTTCTCCCAATGAGCTATGTAGGGTTAATCCAGCTAGAAAAGTACTGCAAATGAATGAGTATAAGGGAGCTTCAAACTGGAGAGTGAAAAGCAGTCTCTGTGGAATTCATCTCTTTCTCTTTCTTCCTTGTGTTTTTAGAATATCGGATCGGTGGAACCCTGCAGTCCGAAAGCGGATGCTGAGTGACAGTGGCCTTGGCAAGATTTCCCCGCACTACGAGGTACCTGACAAACAAAAGGACGCCAGCCAGACACACATGCTGCAGTAAGAGCCCTCTGCATTTCTCTGCTTGATGCTGCACCGTCACCATCAGGACTGACAACTTTTAATTGGTCTTTTAAAATGTAGTGGGTTACAGTGACAGGATGAAATGGAATCTTTCTTTTTTCCCCCCACTTCTTCCTTCTGCTTCATCCTCTTTCTCTGTCTGTTGCTTTTCCTTTCCTTTCTTTCTCCAGCTTTCAGTCTTCCATAGTCTTAAAAACATTGGTCCAGATTTCCAAAAGTGAGTAGTGATTTTGGATATGTCAAATTTTGGGCTGCAAAACTGGAGGCATCTTAAAGGGTCCTGGTTTTCAGAACAAGCTGAATGCTCAACCTCTGAAAAAAGCCCCCTTTAAGGTGCGCCAGGTTGATCACCCCAAAATGGAGGCTCGCCAAATCACTAGTCATTTTGAAAATATAGGCCACAGCTTCCAAGGGATCAGAGCCAAGGTTAGCATTTTGGGGCAGGCCTGTTAGACAACTTTTTGCTGTCCCACTTCCACAATGTAACAGCTTCCTATCCACCATGATCATACCATGATGTTCAGGGCCAGTTTAAGGATTTGGGGAGGGTCAATGAGATGATTCTTTAGGCTACACCGCAGACTTAATTGACGCTCATTACATAAAAGGTGTGTATTTGCCTGTGCATGTATCTTTCATTTTCCCCACCCTCTCCACTTTTTTCAGAAGTAGAGCCCAGCTGCTTGTTCCTGTTGGTTGAGATTTTTCAAACACGAATGAAGGGATTTAGACACACAACTCCCATTGAAACTTAAATGGGAGGAGGCTTGCTGAATTCCTTTGTTCGTTCTGGAATTCTCACCTTTTTACTATAGCAACTGATTTAGATTGATTTACATCAATTCTCCTTTACATTTCCAGTTACTCGCAATCGGGGGGGGGGGAGGGAAGAGGAGAGGGGGAGAAAAGCCAGGTCTGCCTGAGGAAAGAGCAATTATATATACAGATCACACGGACCTTGTTATAGCCTGACTTTTAGTTAATTCCTGTCCCTTAGATCAATTATATGTGTACATGTGAAAAGGGACTGCCACAGTGTCCATTGGTTAGTACTCTGCCCTGTCAGATTTTGGTTCAGTTCTTGGCCTTGATCTTGTGCTCCCCAGAATGATAGGGACTGTGAATATTGCAGAGGGAAAACTAAACAGCTTGGGAGAGTCTGCAGTTTTCCCCAGGCCAGAATGTAGGGCCTTAAACTTGGGGCATGTGAAGCGGAAAGAAATTAGAATGATGTAATGTAAACCCTGGCCAAGTGGAATAAAGGTAATTAGGTGGGAAAAATGTTCTGACTGCTGTGAGGACAGATTTTGTTTAAAGTGATGTGTAAAGAAATATTTGCATAGATACAACAATGGTGTTTTTCAGAGGGATTCATTTATTGCAGGTACAGCTGGTCGTGCTGCCTATCGTTAAGGTTACCCGATACTTCCAATTATAGAACCCTGTGTTCAGTGGCTTAGAACTTTGTCAAAGTTTAACTGTTTGGGCTGGAATTTTCCATAACAAGAGTCTGTCTCAAATTAATTTTTTTTTTGAAAGTTTCAACTAAAACAGTTCAGCTGTTTCCGAGAATGGGGAAGATTAGGGGAAAGTACTTTGTTTTGCCTGTTTTTACAGAAAATCTTACAACTGTTTCATTGAGACGCTCTAGCTTTGGATCAGGGACTTGAAATTTAGTCAGCCTGGTTCCAGAGATTTGCCTTTTGCCATTTCCATGAAAATGCACTCAAATATGGCCACCTTATAAACCTCTGGAAAATTTTCATACATGCTCAGTAGAGACTTGTTAGAGTCTGGCAGCTACATTATCTGAAGATTCTGGCCATACTGAGCATGCTTCAATGCAGGGATGCAGAGCAGGACTTTTCCTGTGATTGCTACTCCTGGTGGGAGTAGGGGCATTGCAATACCAGGCATAAAGAACTTAGAGCCGGGAGACTGTCCTGTGCTCTGAATGCTTCTGCTGCTTACATCCAGGCAGTGAGGAGGAGAAGGCTAGAAAGCAGAAGAGTGAGAAATGGTGGAAGCAGGGGGATCACGTTTCAGGAACTGGAAGGGGGTGGAGCAGAGGAGTCAGGGGTTAGGAGCTGGTAGTGGGTGGGAGAGTATATTGTCACAGAGAGGGAGGGAGCAGGAGCAAAAGGATGGAGATGATGGATAGGAGCAGAATGGGCGGGGAAGGAGCCAATGTGTGAGGCTAGATAGGAATAGAAGGGGAAAGGAAGAAGGAGCCTGGGTGGGTGGATAAGAGCAGAGTGGGCCAGAGATAGGCTAGGGTTACAGGGTCAGAAGGTTCCGTAACCACTAGAGAACCCTCTCTCCAGAACCTGGAATTACATTACATGGTCACATACAATTTCCCCTGCTTTATTCAGTGTACAGGATGGAGCTGTTGTAGCGAGAAATCAGGATTGTGTAGTGAAGGACAACAGTTGTCTGCAGGACCCCCAAATTAGTGGGCACTTTTGACAATTTTGGTCTTAAACTCTCTGGGCCTGTGTTCACCAGCCGTAAAATGAGCCTGACTCCCCTCCCGGTTACTGTGCTAAGGTTTTAGCGATCAGTCCTTTCTACTCCTAAGCATTGGCCACAGACAGCTCTTCCATATCAAGGGGTAGGGAGAAAGGGAGCAGGGGAAAAACTTGAAATATCATTAATCAGATGCCATCTGAAAATAAACTCACGTGAAGCTCACTTAATTAAAAACAAAAGGGTAATTAATTTTCTCTAACAAAGACCCCTGCCGAGGAACCATTAAAATCAAATCTCTTTCCCTCCAAGGGCTTAAGAGTAGGATCAGTGCCAAGCACTGTAATTATTTTCACATTCTCTCTCTGTAGATCTTTTCATTCGGATTGGAGAGACTTAAGGCATCTCTTTGTTTACATATCTTGTCTTTTCAACTGTCCCTGCATTTTCAAAAAGGCTGACAGCATTTTAAAGGGTGGTATATGGACACTCCAAACAGCCGTCAGCCATACTCCTCCTGGCTGTGGTCTGCTCTCATGATCTAAGACAAGTCTGCCCAGGTCAGTGCTTGAAAAAGAGACCTCCAAGGAAACCCAGAGCACTGCAGAAAATGGCACTGGTGAATCAGCTGAAGGCACTCTTTCCTCCTCCAGAGCGAGTGCTGGACCAATGCCCTAGTATGGTGCTAAGGGATAGTGTGCTGTGTAGCTGGAGGTGTTGTACCGTATTGCTGAGGAGATGTAAAACATGGCCTCTGATCACTTGTAGCTATTAAAAGATCTGATGGAACTTCATGCAAGACACGAGGTATCCCCTGTATTCTGTACATTTTCCTCTTTGGGTAGTTGGGTTCTGGCTTGCTAAAATTCTTCCTGAAGTTACATTTGAAACAGGGTTTTCTGAATGAATAAACTCTATGTTCTGTTGAGAGAGCTGAGCTGGAGAAATGCTCTGCCTATGGGGTGGAAGGATGGGGAGCGGGCTTGATCCTGCAATGTGCTGAACACCTGCCTCAGTCTGGCAAAGCACATAATTAGGTGCTTAACTTTAAGCACATCAGCTGTCTCTTTGAAGTAATTGCTTTTCATCTGATCAAATGCTTCTCAGCAGTCCTTGGCTGGACATACAATAGGATGTGGGAGACAACCAAAACAAGGGATGTCACTTCATCCCCACCTCCTAACTCCAAAACCACCTCTGAGCTGCCAGTTGTCATTAGTAAGAGCTGGATTTCGGCATGCTCTCCTGAAACCTGTGCCTCTGTGGGTCCATGAAGACTGTCTGTGGAATGCAGAGGTGATGTGCTTGTTCTCTGGCAGCAGAGCAATGTGAGGAATGGATTCAAAGTATTTGCTGGGTCATTAGAGCATTACCTGCTGGTCTGTCATCAGGGAACATTCATGGCTATTTACTTAAACCTTCAGGCCACAGGATGGCTACCCTATTCCAGGGATGGCCAAACCCACTGACTCTCCGAGCCACATACAGTAATTTTCAGAAGTTCTAGAGCCGGGCGCACCTGCCAGGGCTCGGGGCTTCTGCCCCACTCCTGCTGAAGGCCCAAGCCCTGGCAGGCGCCTCCCACAGGGCTGAATCTCTGAGACATCCCCCTCCCCACTGCAGGGCAGAAGCCCCGAGCTCCCCCTGCCCCTCCCCCCAGTCTGGTAGGTGGAGAATGGGAAAGAGGTGTGGGGGGCTCCGTGAGCTGCACTTTAACTGTAAAAGAGCCGAGTCATAGTTTGGCCACCCCTGCCATATTAGCTGCTGCAGGTGAGGAAAAAAAAGACAGTGTTGAAAAGGGAAGCTGTGAACTGTAACCAGTACTTGATGGAGGTTGGCAATACGCTGAATGAAAGAACCTCTAAACCAAACTCCTTCATCTTCAGTCCCCTGGAAAGAGTAATAGCAACATGTCTAACATCTACCCAGCTGTAATGGCATTGTGTGTCCAGAGCTGTTAGATGTGTTATCTGAGTAAAGTGCATGGCTCGTGAAGGGTGGGAGAAGGTTGGCCAGCACACCATCTGGTTAAGTTATACAGAAGAAGAAAAATGCCTACAGGGGCTTGAAGATGGCAGCAACACTTCACAATAAGTGGACATTAATTAGCCAGTAATATCACCAGCCACTCCTTTATGAGGCAATAATAGAGTTCCCGAGGGGGAGAAAAAGGAGGCTGGAGGTCAAGTGCTTTATCACAACCAAAGGAATTGGATCATTGCTAAGGAAATCAGAGTGGCAGTACAGATGTTACAAAGATTTTTTAAAAGAAATTGTGTGTAGCACAAGGTGAGAGAATCATCAGGGAAGTGAATTTAGATGTGAAAAGGGAGAGAAATGTTCATGCAGTGACAGGATTATGAAAATGTAAAGAGGCCATGTGCAGTTTGAAAATGTGTGGTGCAAGCTGCTAGTGATGAGTGCAACTGAGGAGGTCCAGAGGTTTGCTTTGGATAAGCATTTAAAACTTCACTATGCTTCTTACTTTTGGAAAACTGAGCATGAAA